ACACACACACACACACACACACACACACACACACACACACACATACATACACACACACAGAGAAACATACACACCGCATGGACTTCATCCTGATTCGTTTTTGGAGCGAGCCAAAAAGGCACAAAATGGATAACTGGAAGAACTTACCATTCAGAATTTTTCATTTTCTTGACACCATTTATGATTTTTTCCAAAAGCCAGAAAAATGCGGTACAAAGAGAATATTTCTGCTTGCATGAGTTTCTTTGCTTTCCTATAACAATCCAGTTTAGGAACTGCAGAATCAAGATAGCTGAAAATTTAAAATCAGCAATCAGCGATCGCGTTTCTAGCAAACAAAAGCATTCTCAGTTCTGACTTTATGCCCTGCTCTATGGCTACCGCTCAAAAATCCAGGCTAGTATCATAAGTGGAAAGTCGGAAAATCACGTACCCCAAAATTCTGGTTTACTCACCCAAAAAATCTCCCACCAAAAGAAACCAGAAAATTATCACTTTTGTTTCTTATTCGATCATCTTAAGATTCACCTCATCAAATAATATTTAATCAGCTGAACTGCTGAAAAATAGCTCCCAATTCCCATTGTAAACAAATATTGGTAATCTGTGCTGCTGTTCGTTTGTGTCGTAAAGAAAAAGCTTACAAACTTCAATGTAAATTAAGCTTCAACCGCCAATCTAAGTAATTTTTACAACTTCAGAAAGGAACAAAAAAAACACAGAAATATCAGAGATTCAGTTCGCCGCACACTTTAGGCTCACAGGCGCAATTATTGTGCCCTGAGTGGTGATTTGAAGATTGAAAACATGCGGATGCATGGCGCCAAGTCGGAACACTTTGTGAAACAAATGTCGCCAAGTCGGAACACTTTGTGAAACAACAATTTTGGCGTTTTTTTGCGCTAAACTGAGCAGAAGGAACCGGCAACAGAAGTTCTTGCTAGAACTCCGAAACAATTTTTGCAGAATCAACAAAGAAAGTGTCTACAATGCGAAAATCTGGAAGCCATGTTTATTATACAATGCAGAGCAACTTTAGTGGACTCTAGAGTCCTGCTGTATATCTGCAACATATAAACTTAGTTCCAAATTCACGTTAACTTTCCCAAAAGTTGAAAAAAATTCTGTGATTGCAATGAGCTGATAAATTATGGGATATAAGGAAGAGATGGAGGAAAAAGTGTGATAACGTTTTCGAGTAAGTTTTGCCGTATCAGCAAAGGAAGCACTGAAATGATGAATGTGTATGGGGTGATTGGCAATTCGCCCGTCCGGATCGCTTCCGATCGAGTAAACTCGTTTAAGTGCCGATGTGCAAACCGAGATGATGTGCATGGCACCGATGATGTCGGCATGTTTATTCAGCATTCCACCGATCAGCCCCGCCTCAGTACCAGCGGCAAAATCACCTCTTGTCAAGAGCAGCAGAAGTGGTGTATTTTGGAATGTTCCAATAAGCTTATGCACTAGTGCATTAAAAATCCCAGGAGTCCTTTTCTGTGCAAATTGTACATTGAGAAATAATATGATAAACTGGTGATAACGACGTAAATGGCATCGGTAGTAGTAGTAGTGATGTGACGAAGAGAAATGTGAACGAAGAGATCGCCGATACGAGCGGTTACGCGTTTTCGTGCACCCAATTGCTGAATGCGCTGCGGACACAAATAAAATTTTATCATGATCTGATTTCAATTGATGCAACACATGAAAGCACCAAAATTTGGTCATGGAGTTTGAAATCTAGGTGTTTTTAGGCTACCCATCTGGAATTTTCAGATAATATAATCGTCAAAAAATTTCTAGCCTGAGCTTTTCCGGTGCATAATTTATATGTTAGGTCTGTAAACGTGAAAAACTAAAAACCAATTTTCTGCTGGTTATTTCGGCACCCGTCCATGCTGCTTTTTTTCATAAACTGTGGTTGGTGAAATTTTGGTAACTTTAAACTAACTCTACAATGCTTCCTGTGCCAGACACATTTGTCAAGAACCTTAGGAAAATTAGTTCAAAAAAGCAGGTTGGCGTCATATCAGTATGAAGAAAGAAAATTCATCATTCAGGTGCAGAATGGCTGGCGATCACGTGAGAAGTCATACTTAAGCTAAAAAGTAAATACTGTAATTGCCGGCTGTCGTTGAGGGGCACTACGACGCCATACATCTGTTGCAAAACACTTTATTTTTACATAAACCAACAAATAAAGGAAAGTTCTGGGTAGCCGATTTGACTAATCGTTATGCTGGAACACGAAAGCTAATTTTAAATCTGTGAAGCCGAACACCCTTCAAAAATTTCACTCTTCTGTTTTATCTGCTTCCCGAATTAGCAGTTCTCCTAACAAAACTCTCAGATGTCCACGCGCGAAACCCAGGTTTACTTCGGAGCTAAATTTGAAATTTCTAAGTCATATATTGGCAAGAAACATTCCCTTTGACTTTTGGCTTTCTAGTTTTTCTGGCCTTCAAATTAGCAATTTTCTTGTTAAAAATTTCACATGTCCGTTTGTGAGACTAAGACGTGCGTGAAGGTTGATATCACATCCTTGGAGTCGCACTTGGCTAGGGGCCATACCTGCAAAGTTTCAGCATCTAAGCTTGACGGTTCTTGAATTGAAACGCCTGCATAAAGTACGGTATGATTCCCGAATAAGGCATGCGTTTGCACCGAGTGAGAGTTGTATGGGAAATACGTGCTTGCTAGGAATGATAACCAGAAATTTATCACTGTAAAGCGGCTGAGGACACCCGTGCGATTGTTCAAAATTCACAATGACACAAAAACCTCGCAAAGTAATAAAATAACGGAAAAATGAGAAACAAAGAAGAGGGAAACGTGGAGCAGCGTCATTTGTGCTTTGTGTGGACATCAGTGACATTGAAAGGATGAGCACATAAACAGTGAGTTATTGCTAACATATACAGAACACATCGACTGTGTATCCAGGATCAGCCTTTGCAGTGGGTACCTGCAGGAAACATTTCGTCAATCACCTGAATTTAGTCGTAGGACCAAGTTTACTGAACAAAAGGGCCAATGAAATGTGTGCTGAATTCAGTAACCGATCCATGCGAAACTCTCGAGGAATATGTGTTTTACACGAGTCTGCATCCGGAACTATGCAGTAGCCGGCAATGACTCTCAAACAGATAAAAAATAAATAACTGTATAAAATAAAGCTAAAGTTGACGCACTAATATCACGGCAAGAAACACTTTCATACAGCAACATTCATGAATGATATAAAAGATGATGGGCAATAAACACAGAATCGATTTGCTGTAGCTTGAATCGAGGCAAAAGATTACTTTCCGACAGCAGGATCCGAACCTCCAGTATCCGCAGTGATGAAATAAAAAAACTCTGATCAGTGACAGCCGCGCCGCTATTCCTGGTCCCGACATAAAATCCGTTTTCTTACGAATTTTTCATTGAATGGTACAGTAAACTGCAGATAACATCAGGCGGTGGCTGATCAAATAAAAAAATTATTTGAACAGTTAGAATCACCTGGATTAGAGGTAAGAGTGCAGCTCACTTTTATTAAATTTAGAGGAATCCTGGAAACGCTCGTTCATCGACTTTTGCTGAATTTATCACCCTACTTAAAAATATGAAGAGACAGTAACGGCTTTCTCATACTGTTCAGTTCATCACCACCGCCAAAAAGGCAAGCATGGAGCTATAAGCCTGTTCTGCAGTACAGTTCGTCAGCCAAAATACAAGGTGGTCAGGGGCTAATTCATCTGTGAAGTTGCATCACAAAGTTAACTGGTTACTAGACGCCAACAAACCTTACCATCCGGCCAATGTTCATTGAATTTATCACAGAAAGTGGACGCTACTGGATCAAAATACTGTCTCTTTTCTTCGTTCACTCAACCAGTTGGTTATTTTTTCGGGTTTATCAGCCTTTCTTTTCATATTTTTGCACTATCTCATGAATATTAGGCTTAATGCCTTTAAACAAGCGCATGTATACACTTTTAAGTGTTAGACAGAGGTGTAGCAAAGCAGATTGCCAAATTTCAGGAGTACCAGGCTGCTAGTTTCTTGCAGTGTTAGAGTGCGCCGTTTCAAATGTGAATATCAAAGTTGAAAGTGGGCTCGCGAGTATGAAAATAAGCGAGAAGCCAAACGTCTGACTGCAGGAAACCAAGATTATTTTGCCCCGTTCAAATTGAGCCGGTAAATCGTAAGCTTAGTTGGAGGGCTGCATTAGGAATGATGAGCCGAGCTTGTTGGCACTAAACTGGAACAAGAGTGATAAATGGAGCCGAACTGCACCTTGGAATCCAGTTTTATTTTTTGATGTATTTTTTAATGAAAAATCAAAGTGCATTTTTATTTTATTCGCACTTCTTTTCAAAAAAGTTTTTTTATTTTTCACCCAGAAACGTTTCCCCTCTTGTCAAGAGCCCTCATAGCTGCGTGATGTCATGACTTTAAAAAAGGCGCGCTTGGTTGTCAATATGGAAAAAGTGCAAATTATTCAATTTCGCTCATACTCCAGAAATATACTTTCAGATGAAAAATTACAAACCCAACAAGAACAAATTTGAAAGTTTTGGAACCGCTTTGCTTCTTTTCACAAAAAAACATCATACTTTTTGATGAGAATTCAGTGGAAATGTCAGAGTTTTCTCAAAATCTTAGTTGACTAACAGTTTGTATTGCGATTTCAAATGACAAATTCACGCCGGTCATTGAACAAAAAGACTGAAACAACTTCTCACAGCGACACTACTAGATAACGAAGGAAGAGGGAAATACAGTTTCAGCGAAACTTCAATTTCAGACTACCTTTTCGGACCCGCTGAAAGTAAATTCCTGCCGCGCTATTCAACTGAGCATCGAATCCATGATTATTAAAACAATGAACTGCGCAAAAAACAAATTGTCCAAAATCAGTGGGTTCCGTAATGAATTCTTCCCACAAGCTCAAATCAAGTAAGCCGCGCTGTCGTTTGAAAAGATGCTGCAAACGGATTTACGGCTCCGAAAGGTGCAAAACCTAAAAATGCACCATTCAAAAAATTAGAAACAGCACAACACTTCCTTAAAATTTACTGAGAAAGTGCCATTGCATCATAAGTAAACGAAATTATCAAGCCTATATTGCGAGATGGGGAGCCGGGCGGGGGTACCTTTAGCAACAAAACATTTTCTTTCTATTCGTACGGTAAGTATTCTTTTAAATTCAAAGAAAACAACTCAGACTTTCGGCATGGCTAGAAGAAATTTGGGAACCCATAAATCAGTTCCGAGAACCTGTTGCCAGCTGTAGAGTTGATTTTTATGATATGGGACCGCTAGTAAGTTTTGATATGATGGGCGCTCCACAAAGTCGGCGCAAGACAAAACTGTAGTTGTGATATAGCTCCACGACTTTCGAGGAAAAGCGTGTTTTTGTAAAATATGAAGTGAAAAAAAAGCTGTAAACTTCTTGTAAAGGATGAGGAAGAAAGTAGAGAAAGGAGATGGTGAGCAAAGGTGCAAAATTCGTGATATTGAAAAAATTTTCCAGAGATTTTTTCCATGTTTCTTTAATCACCAGCTTTTTGTGAATGACTTTTTGTAATTAAACAGATGATACCGGTAATCCACAACATCACAATGTCTGAATAGTTTGCGCATGCAAAATGGATGCTCAGCGTATCTGGATCTTGCACTGTATTTCGCTTAGCTTTGCTAGGGTCTTCTGATCATCTTCAGCACGTGGGCACACTTTTCTTCGAAAATTCTCTGAGAGGAAGTCTTCCTTCTTGCGGGTTTTTTCAGTCACATGCAACTCCAGATTTTAAATACAAAACGAAGGCTATGTTGCGCTCAGGACCTACTGATTTGATGGAGATTCATATTTCCTGTACATAATCTCTCCTGTTTCATTCACAGCAAATAACACCCTCTTTTTTTGTGAAGGATCAATGTTTTGCATTTGCGCATTATTTCTTTCTGTGTGGGACTGAATTTAGAATGTAAGCAAGATTCCTCTGAACTGATGAGAGTGGGGAATGTTAGCGGCTTTTTTTGCTACTCCACACCGGATGGAGATTGTGCTTATATCGACTTTTTTATTCATATAAACGTAGCTATCAATCTCTTCAGCGTTCACGTCGCAGAAACGAAAACTGCCCAAAAGCATGCTAGAATTCGACGTTGTCTTATTTTAGTATGCTATTTTGTACAGAGAGCACAAAGGAAGGGAGCAACTAGGGCTACGTTTGAACGTACTATTAAATGCTTGACGACTTTCATGAACAGAACTGCTTACTAGCTGGAGCGTTCAGAAACTGCGCAGCAGGAGACGCGCTAACCGATGCCGAATAAGTTCCTTGATACACAGCGGATGACAATGAATGTGGCACTCCGCTACTGCTGTAATTCGACAGTGCTCGCGGTGATAGGTTATGAGATCGCGTATAGTCTGCAAACTCATTACACAGTGCATTTTTCTATAGTTTTGCTTG